CCAGATCCACCTTTTCACACCCGGGGGGCTCTGCAGCACACTTTGAGAAGCACTGTTTCTCATTGCAAGTCTAGGTCCTGGAATGAGAGGATCCTGGGCTCTGATTACCACCGTTGCCACTAACTAGTTCTCTCATCCTGGCTAAGAGACTTGGCTTACCTGAACCTTAGTTTCTTCCTCTGTAGAATGGGCGCTCATGTCTTAGAGTCGTCAGGGAGTTTCCAAAGATACAGCACTGAGCACAGAATAAAGATTCAGTTTCAGAAGCTCTGAGCATTCCTTGTAAAGAGCTCAGCATGGAGCAGTTCTCGATAGCCAGTGGATGTTGTCACTGCTATCAGACAGCTCGAGGAAGCTCAGCCTCGGGGGGGTTCCCCAAATTTGCGGGTTTACCCACCTGACAGATAAGAGCTAGGCAGCTAGAATTGGCTTTTGCCTCTCCTCTGGCTTAACCAGTTCTGCACCTGTTATTTTCATACTCAGGGGACTAGACACATTTTCACCCCTTATATCGTAGCAGGTGGTGTAAATGCCACATGCTCCATCAGACGCTAAGCTATTTCTGATGGTGACCTTCTTGGTGTCTGTAGCTGGCCGCCACCTCTTCCTCCTCCACCTCCTCCTCCTCCTCCCCCAGATGGCCTTCAAAGATCTGCCTGTCACAAACCAAATCTGTCATTCTGGACATCCCTCCCGCCCTTCTGCGTGGTAAGACCCAGACATGAGGCAGAAGCATGTGGCCTTTTATTTATGCCGAGCTCACCTGTTCTGGGCACATGAGTGAAATGCTTTAGAGCTGCAGACCTTGGAAAAGACATCCTTTATGGTTAAAAGAAGAATTATCTGATTTATTAGAGCTTTTTTTTTTTTTTTGCCAGCTCCCATGGGACTCCGCCACGTGTTAGCTCATTCCTCTCCAATAGCTTCTTAGGCGGGCAGAAATTTTTCTTCCCGCTTGATAGATGAACAAACTGAGGCCAAGAGATGCTTGATACCTAGGCCCAGCACTCCCATTTTACAGATCGGGCTCCAAGCCATCAGAATTGGCCTTCTAGGAATAGACAGAGTCATTGCTCCAAAACAAGGTTGAATGAGGCAGGACATCCAAATGGTTACTGTCTTCAAGAGTCATATTTACTATAGGAAACCTTAAACTTGAACCAATTCAAACTGAATGTCAGCCCTGGATGTTATTTGATCTTTGCTTTTGAAAATATTGTCCAGCCATTTAGAATGCCTCTAAAGCAGGAATCAGCAAACATCTTCTGTAAAGGCCTAGACAGTAAATATTTTTGACTTTACAGCCAGGGTCTCTGTCATAGCTATTGATTTCAGCTATTGTAGCATGAAAGCAGCCATAGACAATACATAAAAGAATGGCCATAGCTGTGTTCCAATAAAACTTTATTTATACAAACAGATGAAGGGCCAAATTTGGTCCAAGGGCCATAGTTTGCCAACCCTTGATCTAGACTAGCACTGTCCAGTGGAAAATAAGGCAAGCCAGATAGGTAATTAAAATTTTTCTAATAGATACAGTTTTAAAAAGTAAAGAGAAACAATTTAATTCTAATAATATTTTATTTAACCCAGTGTGTCCACAGTATTATCATTTCAATGTAAAATCAATGCAAAAAGGTTTGAGATATTTTACAATCCTTTTTATATCCTAAAACTTAGAAATCCTGTATTTTATACTTACAGCCCATCTGATTTTAAAATAGTCACATTTCAAGTGCTCAGTGGCCTCATATGCTAGTGACTACTGTATTGGACAGTGCAGCTCTAGTGTGAAGACCAAATTATAAGGAGACAGTCACACGTAAATATCATTATAAACTGATAAGCACCATGCATGGGAAGTAGAGGGTGCTGTAGGCAGGGGCAGGGAAATATTAAAGGAATATTCTGGCACTTGCCTCCATTTCTGTCCAGAATTCCTTTTTGAAAGTCCATAGGACATGCCTTTCCTCAAACCCAGCCACCACAGGTGCTCAGCATGGCTGACTGTAAAATGAAGCTTTCAGATTTTCTGCTGGCTCATTTTGGATAATTTTCCATCCAGGGATTGGGAGATTAATCGCTTTCAATTCTCATGGCTTTTCTTGGGCTGCAAGTGGGCAGCACAGCAGCCCTTGACCTGGTACAGCCATAGATGACATCTCAAGACAGCAGCGTCCACATGGATCCTGAGCAGCTGTCCCCACTGGCTAGGAGGGTTTTTCTATCCAGGAGAAAGAGACCAGCATCTGGATTCACAATAGTAATTTGAACCCTCAGACCTAGCATGAATCATGCTGTACAATTTAGTAACTGGTGACCTCAGGCAAGTTACTTAACCTCGTTGTGCCTCGGTTTCCTCATCTGCGCAATGGGGATAAGGACAGCAGCTACCTTCAGTGATTGCTATGTCCACAGAGAGAGATCATCACATATTGTAAGAACATCTGGCACATGGTAAACTCTGAATATTACATTTATTGTTCCTATTAATCCATCAGGGACGCCCCACACCCAGCCTCTGAACTGCTCGCCCCCTCCTTACATTACTCTGGAGTCCCCAGTGTTTGCATCACCTCCTCCCATGTTGCAGTTTCTCCTGGGCGTAGCTGTGTCTCCCACTCCCCTGTGAGTCCCCAAAGCAGGAACTGTGTCTTGTCCATCTCAGCAAGAATAAAAATCTGCCCACATCTGGTGATTTTCCCTTTGCCTAGATTCTAAAACATTCTTTCTTCCACCATCAACTCCTTCTTGGGGAGACAGTTCCTTATTTTCCACCCACCAAACTGGGTCAGGCTCTCCTACTTATACACTCTCAAGGCCCCTTTGAAGCATTTAGCACTTGTAATTAATTATCTGGGGAATCTGCTTTAATGTCAGTCTCCCCAGTGGGAGTTCCATAAGGTTGGGCTTGAGACTGTATTATTCATCACTGAGTCCTCAGCCTATTGTGCTTAGCACATAGCAGTGCCTCAGGAAATATTTGTTGAATGAATGAGAGACTCTGGAAGTCAGAAAGATCAGAGACTGTTCTTGGAATAACGAGAGCTCAAGGAGCTTTTGTAACTGACTTTTTAAAAATCACTTGCTCAACATCCGCCATACATTTATCTCTACCCCTCCTAAATAACAAACACACCATGGACCTTTTAAAGCCTTCAGGCTGTGCTGTCCAATAGAAATGCAGTGTGACCCATGGGTATATTTTTACATTTTGTCATACCTACATGAAAAAAAAGTAAAAGAAAACAGGTGAAATGAACAATAATAATAGATTTTATTTAGCCGTGATATCTAAAATGTTATCACTTCAACATATAATCAATATAAAAAATGCTGATGAGCTATTGTACATTCTTTTCTTTGAACTAACTTTTTAAAATCTGGTGTAAATTTTGTACTCACAGCGCATCTCGATTTGGACTTGTCACATTTCAAGTGCTCAGTATCCACATGAGCCTCATGGCTGCCATATTGGAAGCCTTAGAGGAACTGCTGTGATTTTTGAATTTTCTTCCCAAAGTGCACTGCTGCAGGTGGAGGTGCGGCCTTTCTCAGGTAGTCTCTGTAGGAGACCAGAGATGAGCACAGCTGAGGTTTACCACCCAGCACTGGGTAGAGCCTGTACCCATAACAGGAAAGAAGGGGTCAGACATACATGTATAGGGGTTTTGCAAGGACTTTCTTTACATGTATTAAATCGTTTGATCCTCTCTCAACCCTTTGAGAGAGGTTGACATATTATTATCCCCAGTTTACAGCTGGAGAAGTAGAGGCACAGGGATTAAAGTTGACCTACCTGCCCAAGGACACACAGATAGTAAATGGTGGAGCTGGGATTTGAACCCAGGTGGCCTGTCTCTAGGGTCTGTGCCTCGGTTGACTGCTTATGAACAGACTGTCTCAGAATTGGCCCCTGCCATTTCTCCAGGATGATGTCAGATGGGACCTAGAGTTGGTGCAGCCCACTTGGATTTGACACTCCCAGAGCTTACTTCAGGGGGAGGAATTGAGGAGCAGACACCCCCTGTTAGCATCATTGGGATTCATAAGAATAACCCAACTCCAAAAGAGGCTGATTGACAAGTACATGCTCTGATAGAAGGAAGTTGGCACCAGGGGCAGAGGTATGTCAGTGCCAGAGAGAATAAAGCCATTCCATCCATCTCAGAATGTCCTCAAGGAGGTAGGGGTAGCCTGTGGGTGCCAGGAGCCCACTCCAGCCATGTGCCAGCAAGGCCCAGGACTAAGCCAAGGGCACTGGCCACCAAGAGCCAGTATCAAGGCAGCTGTCAGGCCAGAGCTTGGAATTCAGAGCCAGAAATGTCTCGCCCGAATGCATCTTGCAGAGTCTCACTGGCAGAACAAAAAATGTCCAAGAGCAAAAGAATGAGTGCGTGAATGTAGCTCTTCACCACTGGGTAATTCCATCACCTATGTATTCATCTGTGAGAATGCATTTATTCAACACCTTTGGTATACCAGGAACTATTTTACAACAGTCTTTTATCCTTGATGTATGTCGAAGCTCTTTGATATCCTACTAGAGACTTAACAATTTCTCTTTAATTTTCAGTGGCAAGAAATATTCCCCAGATGTGTTTGTTCCCCATTTCCTCAAAACATGTGCCACGTTTGAACCTCTAGCATTGCCATTTAATAACAAGAATAATAATAGTAGCTACTAATAACCTACTGTGTGCCAGGCCCTGTGCCAAGCACTTCTATGCAGCTTCATTTAATTGTCACAATGAGCCTAGGAAGTAGGTCTATTATTTACTCCCATTTTACAGAGGAAGAAACTAAGGATCAGAGAGAGGCAGGGACTTGCTCAAGGTCACAACTGGAATACAGTAGAGCTGGGATGTGAACCCAGACTTTTCTAACTCCATACTTTTAACCTGCATTTCCCCCCATGTTTGCACAAATAGAAAATGATCAAATTTGCTTATAGACTGAGATGCCATGGTTACAGATGACGTTTTCTCTTTTTTTCAAAGGTGGTGGCCCTTAGTAAAAGAAGTCAGGAGGCTGAGGCTGCTTTCTTGAGTGTTTACAAGCAATTAATTGAAGCACCAGGTAAGACATGCTTGGACTCCATAGTTGAATAATTGACAAGAAATGACCACTGGGACCGTTGCACAGGGGCCTCATCACCACAGATCTGGGGATAGGCCAAGACTCCTGGGTGAGGCCAGGCCCTCCACGGGTGGGATTGTGGGGGTGGGTGAGGGGTTCTGCACCCAGTCTGCTGTGACACATCCCCACATGGCTCCTCCATCTTACCCCACCGCCTTCCAGTGTCAGCCAGGGAGCTGGGTGAGAGCTCCTGGTGAGGTCTTCCACCTGGACCTTCGTAGGGGACCGTGAAGTCTATCTTGCCCGCCAGAACTCCCCTACCATTACCACAAAGGACAAATGGCACCCAGTGCTTCCTGCCAGCAGAGGGCACTGGAGGAAAGGCCTCAAAAGTGTCCTCCAGTGTGGTGCAGCCAACCTCAAAAACCAAACCCAGAAGAACATGTACTATATGACTCTTCCCACACAATATGAAGACATGCAAAGTTTAACCTGTCAGCCCTATTCACTATGGCCAAATGGAGGAAACAACCCAACTGTCTGTCAGTGGATAAACAGATAAATGAAATGTGGTCTATCTATACAATGGAATATGATTCAGCCATAAAAAACAAAGTGAAGCACTAACACGTGCTACGATGTGGGTGAACCTCAAAAAACATTATGCTAAATGAAAGAAGCCAGACACAAAAGGCTGCATAGTGTGGGATTCCATCTATATGAAGTGTCCAAAATAGGCAATAGAGACAGAAATCAGATAGGTGGTTGGTTGCTGGGGGCTGGGACAGAAGGGAGGGGAGTTAGTGCTTAAACGGGTTAGTGCTTAAAATATTCTGGGACTAGATGGAGTTGGTGTTTGCACAACATCATGATTGTACTAAATGCCACTGAACTATACACTTTAAAATGGTAAATTTTATGTTACAGGAATTTCAGTTATTTTAAAAAACATTAACTTGTGCTGAGGGCTGTTTCTTGATCTGGGTGTGGATTACAGAGGTGTGATCAGTTCGAGAACATTCAACTGTATACTTAAAATAGATAGATATATTTCTGTAAAAAGTTTCCCTTTTTTTAAAATGGCCCCATCCTTTGCCACCTTCTCATTTATTGACTCAGAAAGGGAGTCATAGTGATTTAACTATGGCGGAGCTGGGCGGAGACCCTGCTGTGCTAACTCCCTCTACCCAGACAGCCTCTAATCCTTCCCTGTGTCCTTCCGTGCAGCTGCAGGAGTCAGTGCTGTGCGGGGGTGACTGGGGCTGGGGATTTATAAAGAGGAAAATGAGACCCCACTCTAAGCCAAGCCATGGATAAGGCAGAGTCATTTATATTTTAAATAAAGGTCACTAGTGGGATCTTTCCATTTAGGATGGGAAAGTCCCTTGTTCCATCTGTCTTGGGCAGCTGTAGAGGGCTGAATCGTGTCCTCACAACGTTCATGTCCACCCAGAACCTCAGAATGTCACCTTATTTGGAAACGATCTTTACAGATATAAATAGTGAAGGATCTTGAGATGAGATATCCTGTATTTAGGGTGGGTTTGTGGCCACGTCACTCCAATCTCTGCCTCTATGTTCACATGGCCGTCTTCTCTCTTTGTCTCTGTGTCCCAGCTCTCCCCCTCCTTTCTCTTCTAAGGACACTGGCCATTGGATTTAGGGCCCACCCAGATATTCCAGGACAATCTCATCTCGAGATCTTTAACTTAGTTATATTTGCAAAGACTCTTTTTTTCCAAATAGGTCACATTCCCAGGTTCCAGGGATGAGGACGTGGACACATGTTTTGGGACCAGCGTCCAGCCCACTGCAGAGGCGTCTGCAGTCTCCACCCGCCCTTCCCCAGTCCTGCGCTCCGCCCTGACTGGGAAAGCGGCATGGCCACATGGGTTTCCTAGTGAGAATGCCTGGGCCGGGAGAATGGCCGGAGCTAGACAGCACGGCCCTCGGGGTTCTGTGCCCCGCCCGCATCCCCACCAGAGGAGGACAAGGCTGCGTAGCATGAGACTGAGATGGCCATGTGTCTGTAGCTCAGATCATTATCACCCTGAGGACTACACCACGCACATGGCCAAGAGACTGAGAGGCCGTACTTCTTGCAGCTTTTTTGTTTATAATGTCCCCACCCCCATCACAGTTATCTGGAAAACTTTTTGGAAAAATATACCCTTATTTCCCACCCTTTTCAACTCTTTGGGACCCACAGTCTCGGCAACAAATGACATTGGAGGGTGACTCAGTACAGACCCCAAAGGTGCCCTCCTTGGAGTCCCCTCGCCAGGCTCCTTCGTTGGCCCCGTAGTACCTCACCTGCAGCACCAGGGGGCAGCACTGAGAGGGGCTTGTGTTTCTAGGCCCCAGGCCAGACCTGGGTTGGAATCCTCCTATACCACTTACTCGTTGGGTGACTGTGGATGAATTAAATCGCATCCCTGAGCTTCAGTCTCCTCTTCTATAAATTGAGAATAATATCAGAACCTGCCTCACGTGGTTGTAGGAGGCATCAGTGTGCACAGGACAGAGCGGCACTCACTAAATATCAGCCTCTCTGATCATCATGTGTTTCTGGCTTTCCTAGAAGTGAAATTCTTCTAGCTGAGACTAAGTCACACTAAATTTGTATACCCAGAACCCGATATACAGTAGGCACCTAATAATTGTTCATCGAATGTATTAGAACTAAGACTCAGATACAGAAAGGGGAGGAGGGGTTATTTGAATGAAAAGAAACTGTTTCACCTCAAGCCCTCTGCTTGTCACATGCTTATTTCCTTGTGTGGTATTTACTGAGTGCATGCTGTGTGATACTGGGAACATAACCATGAACCCACCAGTGCAGACACGGGCCCAGCCCTCAGGGAGCGTGCATTCTGGTGGCAGAGGGAACCAGATTGTTGCTCAAATAACCAACCTGTTGTCGCAAACCCAGCGATTATAGTGCTTGGGGATGAGGAGGGGCTTACAGCCCTCACTTGGAAAAGAGGCATTTTTTTCTGGGGTTCATTCTGGGACCCTTATCTTTCTGGAGACACATCTGTTAACACAATCACAGGGCCAGGACCACGGTACCAGCCAGGGGCCGCCACGAGCGCTCCCAAGATAGGCAGAAGCTTTCCAGGTCCTCGTGCTCTCTTGCCCCTCTCCCCAAAGGGTCATTCTAAGCCTGGTGCTGACTCCACGCATCTGATTTCCCAACTCGACTCCTCAGAAATGGAGGGACAGGGAAACGTACGTCCCCAGCTGTCACCGCATTAGAGAATGAGGAGCCTTAACTGATGGAGACGTGCCATACGAACAGCCCCTTTAGGGCTCTAATTCATTTTCGAGACATTTAAGAAAAACAAAATGTTTTAATGATTTCTTAGGGGAATTAGGAAGACATATTTTTGTTCTCATTAAATTTTATCCTCAGACACAAGAACCAAATGTCAGAAGTGTTTTTGGTGCTCAGAGCGAGGCTCGCTGTCTTCCCGACACACACGGCCCCAACCTCCTCTATAAAAATAACACTCCTGGAAAATTTGCCAGGATGAACACTCTCCTGTTTTTATATTTCTTGACAGGCAAATTATTTGTCGAAATACTTCTCCCCTCCTCTGAAGCTACACAAATCCTGATTCAACATTTTTGTTTTGAATGACTGCTGCCAACACAAATCTTTGGCGGAGAATGCAATATAGCATGATTGCTCAGCAAGTATTTTGATAAGTGTGCAGCCTGTATGTCTGTAATTACGAAAGAAAACCGTAAATCTTTTGGATATTGTTCACACAGATGTGGCGTGAAGTGAGAAAAAAAGCAGTAAAACGTGTTAAAAGCATAATTAATGTCATTGTTGTGGAGGATGATTTGATTTAAACCTTTTTGACTTCTGTATCGGGGACGGCTGATTTCTTTCTCGTGCTCATAGCATCACTAGGTACCGACCCAAGGTTTAGAAAGCTAACTTGTTAACCAAGTGATTAGTTAAAAGCAAAAAAGCAAAAACAAAAAAACAAAAAAACAAGAAAAGAACAAGTAAGAGGGCAGGCCAAGGAACATTGCCGAAGAGATGAAAGAGAGGTGAGTGCCCCAGAATGGTTTTTCTGCTTCACTTTGGTTTTTAAAAATCAGATAGATGCAGGAGATGGCAACTCCTGACAGGCGTTTCTCTCCCTGCTCCGTTGAGGAGGCAGAAGGCTAGTCAGCTTAGGCATTCGCGCTACAGTGTCAGACACAGCTGGTGGGACTGTCAGCTTGCTGTTTTTGAGCTGTGTGACCTTGGACAGGGGCCCGAACCTCTCTGAGCTCTGGTTTCTGTGTCTTTAGCAGAAGGATAATAATAGAACCTGCTCATAAGTCGACATGAGGATTTGATACGCTATGCATGAAAGCATTTGGAGGGTTTAATAATCAGTAGCCCACGGCAAAGCTGACATCAGGGTATAAGTTACAGAGTCACAAGCATTTACTGTTGATTTCACAAAGTTCTGTCAATTGTTAAGGATGTGAGGTGAGCGGTTTAAGCAACAAGGTTACTGAGTCTGTAGAATATGAAAATGCTTTATGCTATTTAAGGTTTTTAAAATTTTCTCCCCAATTGTAAAAGTCATGTATGCACGCTGTCAAATTCAGAAAATACAGAAAAGTAGAAAGAAGGGAAAACTACCTACTAGAAAAGCAGTGGGAACATTTTGTTGTTTTTCTTTCTGATCTTCTTCCCATGTACTTTTTCAAAATAGTCATTCATCCTACATGTACCATTTTGCATCCTGCTTCTTTCATGAAGCACAAGCACCCGTATTTCCCTGTGGTTAAAAATCCTGAGTAACTTTGGTTCACTGTGTGTAACACTCCCTTGTGTGGCTGTGTTATGATTTACTGAACTCCCTCTCCGACACTGGGCATTTAGGGTACTCAGGAACGCACAGCGTACTGGTGCTGTGCTAAAATTCTCAGGACGAGGAAGGAAATTTGGGAAGGAAAATATGTTGGATTGCCTGCAAACTCAGGATCAG